CGAGCCGCGCCGCGGGGGGGGATGGGGGGGGGCCCGAGCCGCGGGGACCGGGGCCGGAGCCGGGCCACGGGGGCCGTGCTGGGGCCTGCGGGAACGGGCCGCGCCTCCCCGGAGCCCTTCTCCCGCCCCCACCCCAGCTTACCTCGTGCTGCCGGCCGGCCGGCCCCTGCTGCTTAGTCTCAGGGGAGGGGGCGGGGCGTGCAGGGCAGGGGAGGAGGGGGAAGTGAGCTGGGGGCGGGGTGAACAGCTGCAGCGCGGGGCCCTCTTGGCGCGGGGCCCAATTCAGCCGAATCGGCTGAATCGGCCTAAAGCCGGCCCTGACCGGATGCACTGGGAAATCCAGTTCAAAAGTCTCTGGGTAGAAATAGGCGTACCTTTGGAGCGCTCTGTAATGGAGACAAAAAGTCTGGAAGAAGTTCTAAAAGGTTTGGTTCTATCGAAATAGAAGGACAAGGCTCTGCGTACATCTAGTGTATGCATTGAGGCTTCCAACGAGTTCACGTGTGGTTTCGGGAAAAAAGTCGGTAGGTGTATTGGCTCATTAATGTGGAATGACGAGTGCACCTTTGGAAGAAATTTGGGGTGTAATCTGAGGGTAACCTTGTCTTTAAAAAATAGCGTATATGGTGGGTCTGCCATAAGAGCTGCTATTTCTCCTGCCCGTCTGGCAGAGGTAATTGCCACTAGAAATGCTGTTTTCATCGAGAGGTGTAAAAGGGAGCACGTGGCTAGGGGTTCAAATGGTTGTTGAGTTAGGCAAGACAGTACTAGATGAAAGTCCCAAGGGGTGGCAGGTGGTTTAATGTCTGGGTATAGGGTTTGTAGTCCCTTGAGGAAAACGCTTAGTGATAGAATGAGCAAAGACAGACGTGTCATCAATTCTGTCGTGAAAAGTTGTAGTAGCAGCTAAATGGACCCTGATGGAGCTGAAAGAAAGGCCGGATTGCTTAAGGCCCAATAAATAGTCAAGTATGAGCGAAAGAGATACCGACATGGGACAAAGGTGTTTAGCGGAACACCAATGTGTGAATCGTTTCCACTTTTGAAGATAGGTCGTGCGAGTAGATTGTGTTCTGCTATGTAGGAGCACCTTTTGAACTTGTTCAGAGCAATCTAGTGCGCTTTGGGAAAACCATGTAGGAACCAGGCTTTGAGGTGAAGCATGGACAGGTTGGGGTGGAGAAAGCGGCCGTGTTGTTGTGATAGGAGGTTCGGAATGAGAGGCAAGGAGATTGGTGGTTGAATCGACATTCTGGTGAGGAACGGAAACCACGGTTGTCTGGGCCATGATGGGGCAATGAGGATCACCTTGGCTCGGTCTGTTCGTATTTTTATCAGGACCCTGTTGAGAACTGGTATCGGGGGAAACGCATAGAGTAGGTTTCGGTGCCATGAGGTCATGAAAGCATCTCCCAGGGAATGTTTGCCCAGTCCTGCTCTGGAGCAGAAATTGGGACATTTCTTGTTTTTTGTAGTTGCAAAAAGATCTATTGTTGGGTAACCCCAAGTGCTGAATATGTTGTGAATGGTTTTCTCGTCTATCTCCCACACGTGGTCCCATGGGAAGCGTCTGCTTAGTTCGTCCGCTGTGGTGTTCATTACCCCGGGAAGATAGGCAGCTGATACCCGGATGTTGTTCGCAATGCACCAATTCCAGAGCTTCATAGCCTCTGTGCACAGCGAATGGGATCGAGCTCCTCCTGCCTATTTACATAAAACATGCATGCAATGTTGTCTGTCATTATGCATACGTGATGGCATACTTGATTAGTGGCAGGAAGTGACGGCACGCATTGCGAATAGCTCGAAGTTCTAGGACATTTATGTGCAGGGAGGTCTCGGTTGACGACCATAGCCCCTGTACTGTTTGGTGAGACATGTGTGCATCCCAGCCTGTCAGAGATGCATCGGTGGTCAGGATGAGTGATGGAGCCTGCTGAAGAAACGGGACTCCAGAGCAGAGGTTGGAGTGAACGGTCCACCAGTGTAGAGAATCTTTGACTCGGACAGGTAGGGAGAGAGTCTTGTTTAGAGAGTGCACATTCGGTCTGTAAACCGTGGCCAACCACGCTTGGAAGCACCTCATGTAGAGGCGTGCATTCTGGACGACAAAAGTGCACGAGGCCATGTGACCTAGTATTTGTAGGCAGTCTCGGGCAGTCACCTGGGGACTGTTGCGAATTATTGTGGCCAGTTGGCTTATGGAGTTGAAGCGATCGGGTGGGAGAGATGCCAACCCCGTCCGGGAGTCGAGGTCTGCTCCTATGAACTCCAGGTGCTGGGTGGGGCGTAATGTGGATTTGTTTTTGTTTATTTGTAGGCCGAGAGATAGGAAACAATCGACGGTGAGCCGCGTGAACCGGAGAGCCTCGTCGAACGTTGAGGCTTTGAGGAGGCAATCATCGAGGTAAGGGAATACTATAACCCCTTGTTTCCTGAGGTAGGCAGTGACTACGGCTAGGAGCTTGGAAAAGACACGGGGGGCTGTGGACAGTCCGAAGGGGAGTACCCTGTATTGAAAATATGTCGAGCCGAGGGTAAATCGAAGGAAGCGTCTGTGGGCTGGATGTATAGTGACATGGAAATAGGCATCTTGTAGGTCGAGAACAGAAAACCAATCGCCCTGCTCCAGCGCTGGGATTATGGTGGTGAGGGTAACCATCTTGAACTTTTGCTTTTTGACAAATTTGTTGAGCCGCCTGAGGTCAAGGATTGGTCGCCATCCCCCATTTTTCTTTTCTGTTAAGAAATAATGGGAGTAAAAACCCTTCCCTTTGTGTCGTTCTGGCACAATTTCTACTGCTCCCAGATGAAGGAGATGTTGCACTTCTTGGAGGAGTAGCTGCTCGTGAGAAGGGTCCCTGAAGAGGGACGGGGAGGGTGGGTGGGTGGGAGGCAAGGAGAGGAAGGGGATGGCGTATCCAATTGTAACTACCTCTATGACCCACCTGTCGGAGGTAATGTTCTTCCATTGGTGGGAGAATGGTCGTAGGCGGTGTCCAAAGATAGGTGTGTGGGCTGAAGTGGGAACGCTGTTTTCTAAACCCTTGACCAAGGCTTCAGATCTGCCTATTAGTTGGAGGGGGTTGAGGTGCCCCTGCAGAACTGGGACCACGGCGCTGGAATCTTGGTCTTTGACGTTGTTGTTGTTCCTGCGGTCTATGGGAATGTTGTGTAAATGCAGGATAGCGTGGACGGTGGTATGGTTGGTATCTATATTGCCGTCTTCTGGTCATAGGTGTCTGGAGACCTAAAGACCGGAGGGTTGCCCTTGAGTCTTTCATTGAATGAAGCACGTCGTTCGTGGTAGAAGCAAAAAAGTTTGTCACTGTCGAAGGGAAGATCTTCAATGGTGCTCTGAACTTCTCGAGGAAAAAAAGAGGAGGAGAGCCATGAACCCCGTCGCATGACTACTGCTGTAGCGGTCGATCTTGCTGCAGTGTTGGCTACATCGAGGGCCGCTTGAAGAGCGGTGCGTGATATGCTTTGTCCCTCGGAAACCAGAGCTGTGAACTGTTGTTTTCTCTGTTCTGGAATGTCATCAATAAAATCCATGAATTTATTATAGTTTTTGTGGTCGTATTTTGCCAGGACTGCAGTATAATTAGCTATATGAAATTGTAGGGTCGAGGATGCATATACTTTACGACCAAAGAGGTCCAAGCATTTGCTGTCCTTGTTGGCTGGGGCGGAACGGGAATACTGTTGTTTAGCCCTCTGGTTCGTGGCGTCTACTACCAATGAGTTTGGTGCCAGGTGGGTAAAAAGGAATTCAGAGCCCTTTGGAGGAATAAAGTACTTCCTGTCCGCTTGTTTACAGGTAGGTAGGCTTGTAGCTGGAGTCTGCCAGATGGACTTAGCGGGTTCTAAAAGGGCTACGTTAATTGGTAATGCCACCCTGGAGGAAGAAGGGGGCTGTAGGATGTCCGTTAGCTCATGCTGTTGTTCAGTGACTACCTCCAAGTTAATTCTCAAGTCACTGGCAACTCTTTTAAAGAGGTCCTGGAATTTTGCATAGTCGTCCGACGGTGTCGGAGGAAGGGGAAGTAATGCTTCTTCAGGTGTTAGCTCTGGCTCTGCTGGAATAGGAGCAGGGCTAGGTTTATCCTGGAAGTGTGACGGTGCTGCCAGGTGTCTCGTGTCACAGGCATATTCGTCAGGTGGCGGCGCTGGACCGGTGTTGCACCTGGTCGAATTGCCATAGCGCACGTATTCCCGAGGGTCCGATGCCCATGGTGTCCAATATTGCCATGGTGGTGGGTAGGGCATAGGTGGTGCCATCCAGGGGTTCACCCCCCAGGAGGCAGGGTCCTGAGAGTAGGATGAGGTAGTTTTCTTATAATCTCTATTGTCTGGGAGTGGGAGTCTTGATATGGAGAAAAAACTCCCTGTGGATCAGTTTCCTCCTCACTGGAGGAAGGCTGCTCAGATCCTGACTCAGGCATTGGAGAAGAACATGCATTCATCAGGGGAGACTGCAGGATAGGTGATACCAGGAGATCTGCTGTCTGAGTAAATTGAAATGGTGAGGCTCCTACGTGAGGTGAAAGCTGAGCAGGGGGAGGCTGCCGTGCGGGAGCATTCCTCTGAGCAGGGGTTTTGCCTGTGACCTCCCTGTCAGACTGCACCGCGGGGGTCGGTGCCGCGGTCGGTGCCGGGCGGGCAACATCAGCCTGCAGGGGATCAGGCATGTTGTAAAATGTCGGCACCGCGTCCGTCGCGGTGCCGAACGGTGCCATAATAGAGGCAGGCAACTGGAAGCCTGATGCCTCGGCACCGGAGCCTCGCGCCGCCGCCGCAGACTCAGGCGGCTTTCGAGCGGTTCCTGAGGAGCCCGGCTCATCAAAGTTGCTGAGGCGAGGAAACACCGGCAGGGAGACCGTTGATCTGCCTGGAGAAACCTAGTGCCTCATAGCCTTCTTTGGTGAAGAAGGCTCCCCCTTCTTTGTAGATTTTTTTCAGTTTTTTTGAGGCGGGGGGGGGGCTGTGGCGGGTAGCGGAGCCGGATTCAGTGCCTGGGTCTGAAACTAACCCGATAGACTTTTGCAGGAAGAGCAGTTTAAGTCTAAGCTCCCTGTCCTTCCGTGCCCTGGAACTGAGTTTACAGCAGTGGGCACATTTTTGGGGAATGTGGGCTTCCCCCAAACATTTTATACACTTGGAGTGGCCATCTGATAGCGGGATAGCTTCCTTGCATGTAGCACAGCGCTTGAAGCCTGTGGAGCCCGGCATGGCCAAAGCGGCCGCGGCTGACAGTAATTTTTTTTTTTGGTAACAGATAAACGAGGTAATTAACTACACTAACAAAGAACTGACAACAAACTAGTTACTAAAAGGGTAATTGTAGCAAGAGTGAGGGATTTCCTAA